GGAGCCCTCCCCTCGCCAGCGGCCCTGGCGTGCTGGGTGCGGTGTAGGCTGCCGCCCGCCAGTCTGAAATACGGTTTGCTCTTCGGGGAAAGCATCTCGATTTCAGTTGCCTACTTCTGTGCTGGACCGAGTTCAGACATATCCAACCGCGGCGGCGGTCGGGGACTTATCAAGGAAAGATTAGAGGGTCCACCGGTTTTCAGCCGCTTGCCTGGTTTAACTATGCACAGCTAAAAGCTGAATGCGCTGCTTGAGCTCACCACTTGAAAGGTTTTTTGAGCACTGGCCAGTTGAGACCCAACGATTATTTAGATCATGGAGAAATAGAAAGAAAACCCACATCCTCCCTGGCGACATTCACAAAAAATGAGCAAGCGGCTGCTGAGGGGCAGGAATGCCCCGATTCCTCCCGCGCCTCCCGGCTTTGGCCTCGCCGGTGCCCACTAGTGTCTGCAGCCCGCGTGGTCCCCTCGCCATCCCCTGCCCGAGGCAGCCGTCCTTCCCCGCGCGCACCGCGGCCTTCCAAAACCAAATGAAAATGCTGATAGCGTCAGATTCCCTCGGTGCCTCGTGAATATCAGATTGTATCATAAAATAACGCGGCAGACTTCAAGGGAGTCTCCAAAGCAAAGTAAGGCACTGCCGAGAAAAAAAAAAAAAAAAAAAATCACTATTTTTCGATAATGTGCACTGCCCTTCTCTGAGCTCTGTCGTGTTCCCTGACTCTGCAGAGACACGGTCTGCTCACCTGGCTCCTCCAAAGGGCCCGGCGAGGGGGGCACGTTTTAAGGCTAGGTGGGCGTATGCGGCAGCAAGGGCAATGCTGAGTGCTGCCACGGTGAGTGCTGGGCAGAAACCCCCCAGGCAATGTGGGGCTGCTTTGCCCCTTCCCTGCTCCTCCAGCCGCTGCGCGGAGGGCAGGGAGCGGTGGGGGCTTGCCGGCCGCCTCTGCAGAGCCAGAGCCTCATGTTTTAAACAAAACAGGTTTTCCCGTCGGCCTGAGCCCCTCCTGTGGCTGTCACAGCCCGGGCAGCCTGTCAGGTCCCAAGCCCGAGCGAGGTTTGTGTGCGATCAGGAGAGTGCGGGCAAGGCCGGTGCCCGGGTGCCCGGAATCATTTGGTCGGGAATTGCTCGAAGGAAAATCACACACTAAGCACCAGGAGAACCACCGTAAGGTGAGGATCTCACCCTCCCTGGGGCACAGGTTACCTCAGCTCACCGTCTCACAGTGGTTCAAGCTCAGTAAGACAGGTGACCACATCTAATTGTCCCTTCTTACACCTTCTGTTGTCGCTATTTGCGTAAAAGCTGCAAAAAGCCCCCAAAACTCTTGTGATGTGAAGTGCAATGGGAATTGTGCATCCCAGTGTCCTGACACCTGAATCCCAAATCGGCCGGTGTTTCCCAAGCGGTATTAGGAGATGGCCCCGGCACAGCCGTTCCTGGGCGGGCCGTAGGATGCAGAGTTTCCAGGGCTGCTGGGCAGCTACCAAACCCCGCTGCCCTCAACGATGTCGTTCGTTCGGCCCTTGCTGAATTTTAAAAGAGAACAGGAACTCTTGAGTTCATCCTCTATAATCCCTGTATCACAGAACACAGCGAGAGTGGTTTGCTCTCATTATTGGTATAAGATTACTCTTTAATTGCGGAGAAAATCCATCCTTTCAAAAGCATTAAAGGGTTGACGTTTCTTTTTCTGATACAAGCCCATATTCAGATTACATGGACACTAATCAAATAACTCGGGTTATTTCATTTGTCAAGACGTTCATAAAAATTTTCTACCAGGCGTTAAAGGCATTTATATGGAACGACATCTTTCAAAAGCAATGTCGCTAGTCCAGATTTAGGGTATATTTGATTATGACAAGACGTTTGATGGTTTTATTTTACATACCAGTTGTGCCACAAATCGTTTCATACCTCAAAGTCCTAATTTTTATCCTGCTAGTATTTTCTGTGAGAAGTAGTTTTCATTTTACGCGGCTCTTGTCAATACCTGCAGCTCCTGGAAGAGCCTTCTATTCAAAAGCGTTGTCAGATGATCTAAAGTACAAGTGGGAAGGCGGCTTTGGACATGGTTTTGTTTTGTTTATTTCGGCGTGCGAGTGTGTGGTTTTCCCTCCCAACTTTAAAAGAAACTCCTCGGTTTATGGTGCCTTTACAAGGGGGAATCCTCGTGGCTGCCCTCTCTGCTGTCCGCAGCCGCTGCGGGATGGTTTCTGCCTCGGCTTGTGCGGCGATCCCCGCGGGCGGGGTGGCGGCGGGTCCCAGGGGAGGGGGACGCCTGGCTGGCGGCGGGGGTCGGGGGCAGGAGCTGCGGTAGGCGTTTCCCGGGGTCTGCTCTGGGCGGGGAGCCGCGGCGGGGGAGGAGGGTGCCGGCGTGCTGGGGCGGCGCGGCGGCGGGGGCTGCGGAGCGGCTCCTGGGGGTCGGGCGGCCCCGGCGCTGGGGTGAGCTGAGGTGAGCTAAGGTGAGGGCTCCGCGGGCGCTTGTCCTTGGAGGGATCCTGGGAGAGGGAAGGGGTGCGGCGGGGCCCCCGGCGCCACAGATCCCCCGTCCGCGGGGAGCCTGCAGCGGGACCCCCAGGTGAGCGGGCGAGGGGCCGGGCGGGGGTCTCGGGGCGGCCGCTGCCCCTGCAGAGCTCGGCGAAGCGGCAGCGGCGCCCTCCGTCCCGCCCGCTCGGCTGCGCTCCCGCAGCCGCCGAGCGCTGCGCTCGCTGCCGGGGCAGCGCGGGCCGGGCCGGGCCGGACCGGGCCGGGGCCTGCGAGGGGGTCCCCGAGCCCGGCCGGGACCCGCCGGGACCGGGGCCGGGCTGCCCAGGCGGCGGCAGTGGCCGGAGCCGGGTGAGGGGACTGACTTGTGCCTGACCCTGGCAGAGGCACCGCCGCTTCGGGGCGGCAGCGAGGGGCCCCGGGCAGAGTGCCCCGAGCGGCGGGTGCGAGGCGGCGCTGCCGGGGGGCGATGCCGAGGCGCAGGGGGAGGCGGGTCCCCCTCGGCAGCCCCGCCGGCAGCAGCCCTTTTCCTCCCTCCCGGCTCTCTTCTCTCGCCCAGAACTCTCGAGCATCAGCTGCTCTTTTTATTGGTTACAGCTCTCCTCATCCTTCCAACTTCGACAGGTGATCAGAGCATCGTGGCTGTTTTAGGTACCTACTTAGGGTCTAATTGCTTTTATGAAATTGATGAACTTTGTTTGGAATAGCTCACATTGTTATTCTCCGTTTGTATGTACTCCTTTTATCATGGATATCCATGCAGTAGAAATTTCTTAAGTTAGGAGCTTCTATTGCTGTCGCTTTAAAATGTCACATTGATCTTTAAATTTTCAAATCTTTACATTACAAGGTTTCTGCAGGAATTCAGTACACTGAAAACGTTTGAAGCATATTGATGATACTTTTCTGAGAACTGACAGCTATTAGTTGAAAGAAATGTCAATAGAAACTTGATGGAAGATAAGATTTTTAAATACTTTTAGTATTTTTAGTGTAGTTGCTTTCAAATAAAAAGCAGTTGCAGTCATGCATGAAATTCAGAATTTAATAATAAATTATGTCTCAGGAGTTTTCCCTTATTTTTGGCTTTTAAAAATGCAAAATGTAGCACTTGACAGCTTTTGTTACCATGCATTAAGTATAATTGGTACTAGAGAGAAGAATAGAGGAATTTCTTTTGGCACTAGGGCGATTAAATTTATGTTTTTTAATGTATAAAACTCCACCAAAGCATAAGCTGTTCTTTGAGAATGCATTTTTTTTTTTTGTATTTAACCATTTTCCAGTATTTCAAAGCAAAGTAGATCTGCCTTATGAGACTCTAATATAGATATCGTTTTATAGAGAAAATAGTTTTGTAGCCATAGAAATACTAATGTAAAGTCAAAATATTTAGATCCTGATAGCTGAACATCATATGACCAGATGAGAAAGTACAAAAATAAATTATGTGTAAGAATTACAGAGTGTACCAAAGATTTTGCAAAAGAAATTAGTTGGGTAAATCCTAGTATTTACAGATGGATATTTTCATGTCTGTTATGCTGTGATTTTGTTAATATAATTTTCCTGCAGTCTTATGTTACCTGAAATTGCTATTGATAAATACCAGGTCAAAGAATAAAATATTTTGTTGGGAAACAGACTATTTTAGGTAAGACCAATTTTAATTTACAAAATCACTTTCAATTAAAAGGTTTCTTGGCTTCATTGTAGCGAAAAATAACTTATTTATGTTGCCTTCCACAATTTCACCTTGCACAGTGTCCTTCAGCTCTGTCACTTGCTCTCATTAGAGCTGACATCATGTAGTAAGTGTAGCACAAATGTAAATAAGATTAATGTAAGTTAATGCCACTTAGTACTGTTGAAGAAATCTTCAGCATCAGCCATGTGGAAGTAACTGATCTTTGTTTAAACATATTTATTTTTAAATAGAAATGATGAACATACAAAATCACAAGAAACAGGTGTACGTATGGCTATGTGTACAGTTGGGAATTCATGTATGTGTACATATATGTTTCCATCTTTATGTATGTGCTTACACACCACATGCATATGCTTTTCTGTCAGAAAGAAACATTTGAACAGTTATTACTTTTTTTCAAAGCTGATGAAATCAATACCAGGACTCTTAAACAGGAGCATATCTTAACATATCTTTAAAGATAATGCAGCTTTAAAAAAATTCTGAAAAAAGAGACATGAATTTGAATTGTATGAAGAGGGAAGACAAATATTTATAACTGTTTTCACAGGTCACACATTTTGGTTCAGTCTGTGTTTGGTTCAGTCTGCTTGTGCTTGATTCATGCTGTTTGTGTTTGGATCATGTTTGGTTGGCTGTTGTTTTTCCATTTTCTGTGGCTACATACAGGGAATGGTGGTTTTGTCTGCATGGATGCCCGGGTGCAAAAACAAATGCACAGATCTATGTGAGAACAAATGTGTTAGCAGATTGCTGTGGTCAGGGCTGCTGTTTATGTGAATCAAGGATTTTGCTGAAAGTAGGTACACAGATCTGTGTGACAAGTAACTTTTTTACACTGTGTGACATATGAATAGCTGCCTTCTTTGTTCCCCCTCCCATGGAATAATATTTGCTTTCTGTTCTTTTTGGATGCCCCTGTAAAATTCAAACTTCCTGTGATGTTTTGGAGCGTTATGTCAATTGCTGAATGGTGAACAATGCCAGAGCAGCAGGTGCAAAACCAGACCAAGTCTCTGAGGTGACCATCAGCACAATTCAGGTCTGGAATATGAAATACTGTGAGCTCTGAACTGAAATGTATCCATACAGTGTACAGCATGTACAGCTGTGAAAACAGTTGAAATTACATATTCATAACATTTGCAGTCTGATAATCCTCAATCCTGGCTGAAGAATTAAAACATGCTCCTTTTATCCTACAGAAACCCATTTATTTTCTTTATCCTACAGAAACCCTATTTTTTAGGTCTTAGGCCTTGAAACCACAGGGGTGAAGTGGTTGATAAATGCACTGTTTCATTAAACAGAACAGTTGTAAGCCAGTGAAGAGTCAGCCCTTCACACAAAAATAAAGTCTTTGAAAGCCAGTAGACTACGGAGTTGTAGTGATCTCCTCTTTATGCACAGGTGGATTATCTGATTTATGAGTGTCTTGTACAACACAGTACCATCCAACAGGGTCCATTAGATCAGATGCAGTTCCAGACAGAAGCATTCATTCTGTCCTTGGGACCAACCCAACTGGAAAGGAATATTGACACTTTATGCATCATGAAGCCAAATTCCTAGACCCAGTCTGAACCACTGGGATTGCAGAAAATAAATGTACTTTATCCTTTCCAATGGATGCAGCATGGTATTACTGTTGCTTATTGTCCAGTTTGAAATACCAAGAGTTCTCCCAGTGCCTGCACTGCATTTCTTGTAGTCGAGCACTGGAAGGGATGGAACAGAGACCTCAGTGGCCCTGTTGTTCATGCTCTGCCAGATTCAAACCCTCCAGCTAAATCTAAGAAGGCTTCATGTGGAACTGTGCAGATACTGTTGCATCCCAACAAGGGAGTATTAACCAGACTTTCCAGCTGTGTGGGACAACCCATTCATTTCCTACCCACCACATTTCTGGCTACAGAAGAGTGGAAGTAGAGACAGGGGTTCAGTGTGGAAATTCCAAAAACCATAGGGAAGTTTGATGCTGGGCTGCCATTTGAGAGCAGTGGGGTGAGAGTATGTGACTCTGCTGGGACTTGTTCAAATCTCAGTTAGTTTCTCATCAAACTAGATGTGATGCTCAATCCCAGACATTTTGTTCCTGGACATCAGGTAAAGACTGGAAATTGCATCCTTGTAGATGTGATGTAATCTTCATCTGCTTTGGAGAGGGAGGTCTGTGTGTCTGTGTGGCAGCTACCATGCATCCACAGAGAAGCCACTTCAATTTCCCCATTCTCAGAGAAAATAAGAAGAAACCTGAAAGCTTTTCTTTTGGTTTCCACTTCCAAACGGTTCCCATATGTCACAAGACTTGTTGAAAGCAAATGTGGAGCTTGAGGTATTTGTTCATTTCCAAGCAGGGATTTTAGCTCTGTCTTCTTCATTATTCCCACTGCAGTTTGAGAGATTGTTCATAATAAAAAGATTTGGCAGTTTCATGATTCACTAGGCTGGGTATCCAGCCAAGATATAATGATGGTTCATCAAAAGCTGTCAGCTTACATTGCATGTACTGAGGATTTCAGATGATGGAAGACAATCTGAAGACCACAGAGCCTTAAAATAATAAGAATTGGAGAACTGCTCCCTGAAGGTATCATGATGGTACAGTAACAAAGAGGTGAGCACCCCATAAACTTGAAGGTCTCTAATTCACAGTAAAACCTCTATAAGAGCCCAGTTTCTAAAATCTGAAAGCAGACACCAAGCTCCACACCCTGAGCTGCGTCCTGATCATTCCAGAGAAATCTAGGCAGTGAGTTTCCCTATTTCTACTCATTATTTTTAGGTACTTGTCAGGTTAGAGTTGTGCAGCTGCTGTACACCTAAGTATGATGAAAGAAAGCTGAGGAAGCCTGGAATACCAAGGGAACACCATTTCCATGCATCAGGCTAGTTCAGTCCTGATTTTAGTCCACTCTCTTTAGATTCTATTCATTTCTGCAGTCAACAAATTCCTCCTTGATGCATAGTTGTTTTTCCTTCTGCTTCTTCCCAGATGCCTAACTCAGGTAAGCACATCAGGCAAGCTTGACTGAATCATGCCAGGAGAACAGGGGATATGTTAGATGAGCAGTACATCAAGAGCTGTGAGGAACTGAGAACAGAAGTATTCAAATTATGCCCCAGCTGTAGCCCTGGACTGCAAAAAAAAAGTAAAAAAATTCAAGTCTCCATAGGTTTTATTATCATTCTCTCATTTATCTCATCAGTGCTAATTGGGCTGTTCTTAATACATGGGTGTGACGTGGCTCACTGGCAGGAAAGGGACCTCTGGATCAGTCACCCTCTTGCTTCTCTGCAGGATCACTGCTGGGATCCAAGTTTGTGACCAGGAAAAATGGGAAGATGAAAGAGTGTAGTCAAAGCTCAGAAATTCAGGGTTTATTGTCTTATGTCCATCTCAAAAATGGACAGGTTGCTAAACCTGAGACTCAGAAATGAGTGACATATGAGTAGTTTTTCTCGAAATCCAGAGTAATTCTTTCCTTTCCAAGGTAATCCAAGACCTTTGCATACTCTGCTAGGGTATGATATCTGTCTTAGGGGTAGCCAAATGGCTTTATCCCAGAAAGGCTGGGGATGGCAACAATAGCTGTATCTCCAAGTATTTTTGTGTAGTTTTTGTATAATTTTCTTCACGTGTGCGGGATTTTCAGAAGTGAAGGTGCGAAGAAATAATTTTGTGCTCACAAAGACCTGACCTGCACCCAAGCTGAAGCACATAAACTCTGTCTCGCAGTAGCAGTGAGCTAAAAGAAATTACTTGTTTAGACTTTTCATGCTTTTAAAGGACTTCTCAGCTTGTGATTGAATTTAGGAAACGGTTTCATTTCAGGATTTTTTTCATGGGTTCTGGGACTA